CCTTTGCGTGGGTTTCTTCCCTTTCTCTGCTTCTGTCTCCTCACCTATAAAGTGCGGATGGTAACAGCCCTTACTTCAAAGGCTTCCTGTGGAGGTCATGTGCATTAGTCAATGTAGAGTCCTTGGAACAGTTTCTGGCACACGTTTTGTGCTCAATAAATGTTACCAGCTGCCTATATTTTTTGAGTGCTTTTTGCTTATAAAAGCCATTAGAGGCAAATAATAATAATAATAATAATAATAATAATAATAATAATAATAATGACTTAGGCAAAGCTTTTGCCCCTTAGGTACATGCCATCTAATAGTGTAGACTTTAGGAAAATAAGTAATACAAATTTGTATATGTTAAGGCTGAGTGGTGGGCAGCTCTGTTAGTCATTGAGAATGAAGACAGCCCGTGTCTTATACCCCCTCAGGGGACAGTTCGTGGAAGCTCTTTCTTCAAGGAGCAATACTCTCGGGCCTCTCCAGGACACTCACACAGTATAGGACATTTGTTGAGGGACAGGTGCTTCCCCCACAGACCATGTCCAGCAATCCTCACAACGGCCTCGTGAAGCAGGTGGTGCTGTTCCATTTTACAACTGGAGAAAAACGAGTCAGAGAGGTTGCAAAGCGATTTCTCCGAGGTCACCAGCAGATCCAGGTCTCAAATCCAGTGCCCTTCCCCCGACGCAGCAGACCGTTCAGCTGGTCCCACCTTGGGCCAATCCACGGAATCGCTGCCTTCAAGGCGAAGACACCCCTGGGCTTCAGGAACGATGCATCTCCTGTTGATGACAATGATGGCAGGGACGGTGACGATGATGTCATGCCTTGGTTTGTGCTCCTCTCGGATGTTAAAAATGGTTTGGAAAGCGTTGTGAAAACTTGAAAAATGTGTTTCAAACTGCACTTGGCTGCTCATCCTGTTATTTAATAAAAAAGTGTCATATTAAATAAACCAGTTAGTGCTGAGTGCATCCTGGCAGTGAGAAAAGGAATTGTTCATCACTTTACCTGCTTTTAGACCCTGAAGCCTTGCTTGGAAGGTCAAATACAAAGGATCTGGAACATCAGATTATTGTCCCAAGAAACTGCCTTCAGATCTGAGGACCAATACTCCTTAAAATTTTAAGTTCCTCTGTATTCAGCCTTTCTAATAATTTATGAGCTATAAACTAGCTTTTAAAAGCACAAGGGACACTGCCCTTTAGAAAGGAAGGTGGTGCCTGGCTGGTGTGGCTCAGCTGGTCGGGTATCATCCCACAAAGTGAAGGTCGGGGTGCATCCGAGAGGCAACCGATTGATGTTTCTCTCCTTTTCTTCCTTCCTCCCTTCCCTTCTCTCTCTCTAAAAAAAAGGGAGAGTTGTTTTGTAAATATAAGAAACTTCCAGAATCTACTAACCCTAACTACATAACTTCAAGTTCCAATTTCTTCACATTGGCAATTATGTACATTTCCCTTTATTTATGTAAATAATAATAATATCCACTTCTTAGATATTAAATAATAGATTAAATACAGCAAGGTAAAGACACCACTGCTTGACCCCTGATTAGTGCTCAATCAAATGTTAGATTTTATTGTAAGTCGTGGGAATGGCAATTGTGGTGTACTGGTTAAAGTTTTCCTATGGAACCACAAAGAACCCCCAAAGCCAAAGCAATCTGGAGAAATAAGAACAAGGCCAGAGGCATCACACTTCCTGACTTCAGACTATATTATAAAGCTACAGTAATCAAAGCGATTTGGTACCAGAATAAAAACAACACATAGACCAATGGAAGAGAATCAATAGCCCAGAAACAAACCTTTGAATATATGGTCAACTAATATTTGACAAGGGAGCCAATGTTGTCCTCGTGGAGAAAAGACAGTCTCTTTAACAAGTGGTGCTAGGCAAATTGGATATTCATATACAAATAAATACAAGACCTTTACCTTACACTACTCACAAAAATTAATTTGAAGTGGATTTAAGACTTCTGAAACCACAAAATTGCTAGAAAGAAAACAGGGAAAGAAACTCTTTGACACCAGTCCTGGCAATGACTTTTTGGATATAATACCTGAAGCACAGGTAACAGAAGTAAGAAGCAGCAAGTAGAACCATCATAGTAAAAAGATCTGCACAGCGAAAGAAACAACACAATGAAAAGGCAACCTATGGCATAGGAGAACATATTTGCAACCCACCTATCTGACAAGGAATTCATACCACTCAGTAGGTTCTCCAAGTGTCTTGAAGGGGCCAGGGTGTCTCCTCTCTCCATCCCCTTTGCTGCCACCTGCACTGTCCCAGGAACAAGTTGCCTTGGCAACTTGGGAGCAACGGCTGTCGACCTCAGGACGTCTGCACCCAGCAGAGCTCTACCTGGCTCCACCCCTTCCTGGCTACCCCTTCTCGGCCTGTGGTTTGCCGAGCTGACTTGAGGAATTACTTGGTTAAAGACTTGGGAGAACCCAAAACAGGGCAGCAGAAAAGGATGTGAGAAGAAAACTCCCCAAACAAGCCTTTCGGCCCCTGAGGTTGGTTACCACCTCCCACCATGTGCACAGGGGCACGGCCTCCCGACGAGACACTGGCAGAAGACCGCCCACATTGAGACGTCGTTTCCAGGGCATCTGGGCCTGCGCTCGGGGAGACCGGCCTCGGGAGCAGTGCTCTTCTCCCGGACACTCTGGTCGCGCCAGCGACAACCCCCATTCCTCTCCTGTGCCAGCTTTGGAATGAACCATCTCTTAGGGAATTCAGCTGTGTGCAATTTGTGATCCACGGGCATGTTTTCATGAACTTTAAATAATGAGTTTTACAACACCAGTGTAAGAAACCGAGTGAGAAATCTCTGCCCAAGCCTTTCATCAACAGCAATTAACAACCATCAGCCAAGCTGGCTGCGTGATTTACTGGGTCTCAGGACCCGATCCGTCCCTCCCCTCTGGGCTTGCCCAGCGAATGCTGGTCCTCTGCAGAGTCTCTTCATCCGCCCCCCCCCCCACCCCCTGGGAATTCAGCCTGCCGGTTAAGTCCAACCAAAGAAAGGACAGCTCTATTCTCACTAACCTCAAATGGGTAGTTGCACTGTCTTCAATTATAAAGGTTGACAACAAACCATTTATATTTTTGCCTATTTATATTTTTGCCTTTTTAAAAAAAATTTATTTATTTATTTTTAGAGAGGGAAGGGAGGGAGATAGAAACATCAATGTGTGGTTGCTGGGGGTCATGGCCTGCAACCCAGACATGTGCCCTGACTGTGATTCGAACCTGCGACACTTTGGTTCACAGCCTGCGCTCAATCCACTGAGCTACGCCAGCCAGGGCTTATTTTTGCCTTTTTTTTTTACCAGTGAAAAACCAAAGCTATTTTCCTATCGAGCGATTGCCATTGCACGTAGGTCGAAACAGCGTTTACTAACATCACTCCCTCTAAAACAAGACAATCAACAGACCCACCACTAAGATCTTTGTCAATGCATTAGCCCAAAAGCACATAATCCACAAATTTGTCTTTTAAGACTGTGGGTAACTGTATTTCAACATAACTGAGGTCTGCTGTGTAAACCAATGGCATGTGTCGTGTGCCTTTAAAAACATTACCCTGAGAAAGGGCCCGTCGGCTCCCCCAGGCTGCCAGGGGTTCCAGGGCACAAGGGAAGTCCCTGCAGCAGGGCCTTCTGGGGCCGCCCGTCCCTGGTCCTCCGACCATGCACCCACAGCTGACCTCTCCTCTCCCATCCTCGCGTGCACCGTCTTTCTGTATTTTTCTTAGTTGCACCCACTTCTTCCCCACCCTCAGGCAGTATCCCCAGCCCCATTTCAAAGAACTCTTCCTAAAACACAAACAGAAAGTACAGGCATTGCTGAGCAAGCATGTAAAACGTGTCTCCTTGCAGGGTTGCGGGAATGCTCATTTGGAGCCCTCTACTACCAAAAACGCCTCCCAAGTGCAAAGGAATGAAGCCGAGCCGATGGGGTCATCCGAGGGCAGCGGGCAGCACCTCCTCCGCGCGCTCTGCGGTCAGGCCCCCTCCGGACAGGGAGCCAGGCAGCCTCAGGCAGCCGCAGAGCAGCTGGCGCGCCTTAATTGCTGCACTCCGGCACCATCCTGGGTTTAAGCACTTGTGGGAGGACTTGAGATGAATTTCCCGCAGGAGTTCCCTGGACCATTAATTTCTCAAATGACACCTTACCAGATGAAAAGAGTCGATGCACAGAAACGTAGCACCTGATGGTCAGTGAGTGGCTGGCCCATCAGCAAAGGCGTCTCTGGCTCCCTGGGGCCATAATTCTTAAAGAGGCTCCTTGGCATTACAATGAAGTTCTTGGATATTTATTTCCAACTTGCATTTTTCCCCCTTCTTTCTTTCCCTTTTCCATACACCTTCCATGGGCTGTCTCTGACATTGTAATTCAGGGGTTTTTCTTGAAAGACTTCGCCTTCACTGGCATTTTGTTCTCTGTTTCAGAAAAGAAGTGAGTTTGGGGAGAGGTCTAGGCCTGAACTTTGTGGACTGGAGAACAGGAGCAACTAGACTAAAAGCCTAGGGACATAAAACACAATAACAGTCATGATGCGCTCTGGGGGATTTGCAGGGGGGCGTGTCTGGTAGCACCGAGGGCTGGAGACCAGCCCCTAAACTGTTCCCAAGGGTGCGGCCTGGCAGGGTGGGGCCCTGAGCTGGCCCAGACTGGCGCTGCCTCTGCCAGCAGTGAGCCTCAGCCTGAAGAGCAAGCAGATCTGAGTTTTTCTTTGCACGCTGTAACGACAGAATGGGACGCTGTAGGGACAGACAGACAACGCTGGACAGAAGCCATAAGCCGCTGTGTGCTTGTATGAGGATCATCGACCAGAGTACGAGAATCAAGCCCTGCTCCCGTCCCTGTCCTTGTCCGTGGGAGGCCTCAGCCAGTCTCGGCCTCTTTTATATGAAAAGGAAAATATCTGTGGTTAGTACGAGACTGCAAGAACATAACAGAAGTGAAAAGGAAAAAAACCTGCCACACTAGAATTTTTCTGCCCAAATGGACTGCATTTTTATTATGCTTTGAAAAACACATTCTTCGTGTTTGGTGACCTCATTCTAAAAGCCAGTGGTTTCCAAGATTTTTTTTAATGATTTACCTCTAGCAGTCAAAGTTTGAAGGCACACAAAGATCATGATAGATTTCTTAGGAACAAGACCCCTTTCTTAGGGCTCCCATTTTTATAAGGTGGGAAGAAAGCATTCAGTGAAATTCACCTTGACTCTTAGATTCTAGCCAGTAGAGTCCAACATTTAAGCTAAGAGCCAGATTATTTGAAAACCTAATGAGGACTATGAACTTGGTCCAGCTAGTAATAGGGAGCCATTGTATGTTCTTGAGCAAGGGCGTGGCATGAAGTGCCAGTTAGGAGAGTAGAATTGGCAGGAGTGAGCAAGCTGAATTGCAGGACAAGAAACCGCAGTCAAAGCGCCTGAATAGTGACTGCAATGCTCCAGCCACAAGCAGCTTCCTCTTTCTTGCCTGAGAGCCGGGCCAGCCAAGATAAACGTCTGAAGCAGATGAATATTTTTATTTCTTACCCATGCCTCTCCTACCACCCTCTGAGCCTCCATGGAGTGGGCCCACCTGGCTCCTACACCTTAAAAGATCCCCTCCTTCTAATGTGCTCCCTACCCGCCCACCCCCATCCCAGAACTCCCCTGTTCTAGGAGCAGCTCATCCCTACTGGGCAAAGTTATACCTACTCCCTTGCCTTTAACCTAGAACTGATGGAGACCTTAGACCCCCTCCCAGAGGACTGGTCCAGTACTTGCAGAAGAGAAGCCAAGTGCACGCAAGCAGATCTGCAAATCAATGACACAGCGTGCCGTGTGACCTCAGATGGGCACGGGGGAGCACGTTCTTGGCAGGCAGCCTGGCCAGGAACTTCCTCGACAAGGTGCTGCCCCTGAGCTCATCCTGCATGTCATCGCTTCTTCCCTTCCTTTCCCAGAACTTCTGGCTCCTCTGATAGCGCACACATTCAGGGCAGGGAAGCTGTAACCAGGAGAAAGGTGGCCTCCCATCTGCCGTAATAGAAGTTGGGCTTTCCTGGGAGGGGCAGCCCTGGGCCTGGGGCTGGTTACTATAAACCCCTTTTAGCCTCACAGAAGGAAGGGGGCAAGAAGAGAGGCCAGCCAACCTCCCCCGGCCAGGAAAATCCTTGCCACCCTTTAGAACACTTTCCTCGCCAGGAAAATGAGGCCCTTTCAGCTGTAATTGTCTAGAAACCATTGAGTTTCTTAAAGCGAGCTAGCTAGGCATCGTCTCTAGGTCATTGCAGGTCACCTCCCACCACAGCTGCAGGTAAAACCGGCCAGTTCGGCTCTCCCCTCTAAGCAGGTAGCTCATGGGGCTGTGCGTCCCAGAATCCATAAACAGACTTCGGGTGTGCCCTCTGCTGACTGGTAGATCTTACCAAAAAGCAATGAAAGGCTCAGTGTCCAGTCCCGGAGGCGGTCGGTCCGTCTGGGACCCCAGAATGATGTATTTATTGATGCAGACGTATTTATGGCAAGGCTAGTGCTACGTAAGGGAGTCCTGAGTCCGAGAGGGCTCAGGTCTCAGGACTCGGAGGACCAGCTGGACAACAACCAGGCTGATCTGAAAAGTTCTCGAGAGGGACAGGGTCTCAAGCTGGGGCCGGCTCCCTGTTCTTTCTGTCTACCAGTGAGCAGTGCTCGAGGGGAGAGGGAGCTGGTGGAGAGGGGCCGTCGCAGAATTATTCTCCCCTCCAAAGCCGTTTGAACTTGCATGTCCTGCAGCAGCAGGGCACCCAGGACTCCCCTTTTCCCCACACGAGCCTCTGGGGATCGGTCTCCGTGCTCATCAGGGTGAGAAGCATCCAGCCCTGCCCGAGGCCCCCGGTCACCGCAGAGCTGCAGGAGGCCAGGTTCACCCTCGTGTGTTCCTCCGGCGTGACACCTCCTGGGAACCGATGATGGCGTGGTTGGGGGTTTTTAACGGACCCCTGAACTGTCTTCATAGCTGTCCTTGTTTGTTTTGAAAGCACCAGCATTGTCAGCAGGACCCGGAAAGGTTTTCATTTCACTCTTCAAGCAGGCCCCGCGTCTGGCCCGGCAACTTGGAGAGCAGAGCGTCTGGGAAAAAGAGAAGGAATAAAAAAAGAACTATTTTTTCCGAAAAGTTCCACTTCCTGCAGAAGGAAAAACGGTGTCGGAGTTGGAAGTCCCCCTAAGGACAGAACAGAGGCCCAGGCAGGGGGCCCATTTTGTGGGCGCGCAGGGCCCTGCCCTCGGGAGGCTCCATGCTTAGCTAACACTCAGCTGTCACTGACTTGAGATTCTTAATGAGCTTGGAAGAAAGGGCTTGCATTTTCGTTTAGTACTGGACCCCAGAAATTCTGCAGCCAGTTCTCACCAGCTGGTCTGTTCCAGAGGACAAGGAGGACCTCAGGAGACAATACTCGCTGGAAGGCTGCAAGCCAAAGCCCTCTCAGGGCATTTCAGGCTCTGGGTCAACCCCCCGCCCCCCCACCCAGGCTCTGTGTTGAGGTGGCAGGGCCTCCCCGAGAGAGCAACTCTCTCTTAAAACAAAGGTCCGTGTTTGGCCTGGGGTGTCCACGCTGGGTCCAAGCGCTCTCCAGGATAGACCTGGAATGACTTCGGACCCTGAGGTGACAGGAGCCTCCCTGGGGGGCCCAGAAAGAAGGCGGGCTGAGTGAGGAGCGGTGCTCGCTTCCTGCAGCCGCCAGCACCACTAACGACAGCCTGGGAGGCTGAGCCAACCAGACCTCCCGTCCACCGCTCCGGGCCCCAGAAGTCTGAGATGTCAGCCTCGTGGGGCTAACATCAAAGTGCCCGAAGCGAGCTGCTGGTCCTCGCCTCTTCCAGCTTCCGGAGGCTGCCGGCAAGCCGTGGCCGGTCCCGTGGCCGGTCCCGTGGCCGGTCCCGTGGCCCTCTCACTCCCACCTCGGCCCCACGGCCACACTGTCTCCCTCTCTTCTGTCCGAACCTCCCTCTGCCTCCGTCTCGTAAGGACACCTGTGATTGCGTTGGGGCCCCCCTGGATAACCCAGGCCATCCCTCCAGCTCAAGATCCTTAGCCACCTCTACGAAGTTCCTTTTGCCATATGAGGGAGCAGTCACAAATTTGGGGGACTCACCATGGCTGTTTGGGGGGGCATTTCCAGGCCACCACAAGGGCAGCTGTGAGAGTTGGTGCTCTGCAGAGAGGCCCAGGGCCTTTCCACTGCTCCAGGGCACCTGAGCGCGTTCCTCCCGTAGGGCCCTGCTCTGGGCCTGAATGCCAGCCGGCCCTGGCAGCCTCCCATGGTCTGCAGCACCCCCTTCCCCCACCCCTCCTCCAACAAACAGAGAAGGGACAGAGGAGGGAGCAGGGAGCCCCCCACCAGACCTTGCTGTAGCCTAGCTGGGTAATAGGACAAATGGATTCGTGCAAAGATTCCAGGCACCTCTAACAGTGGCATGCATAATCTTAATACTTAGTTTGATCCCAAAAAAGGGATTAATAAAATAATTTCAGGCCCTACAAAGGCCCATGCATAGGAGGAGACTTTAGATTCGGCCCCAGAGGCTAAACAGTATCGATTTACCAATAAGCAGAGCCTGGCCACCAGAGCCAATTAAAGACAGCAGAGGGACGGCCTAGAACAAGCCTCACTGGGATGGGTCTGTCTCTGTTCAGCCTCAGAACTTGACTGAGGACAGGAAGAGGCCGCGGGAGAATGAAGATGGGTGGCGAACTATCCCCAACGCTGCCCACTCGGCTGTCTCCAACTCCGGACAGTTCACACAGTGGACAAATTGGCTTCAAGCTATTCACCAGCGATGAAAGTCCCAGACGAGCTACTACGTCCCTTGAAAATAAGCCTGGCACCCGGGGTGCGATTGGTCGCGAAGCAGATGCTGTGCGGAGCCAGCCTCGTGCTCCTGTGAGGCATGTGCCGTGCTCCTCTCTGTCCTTCTTGTCCCCTGAGAGCCCTTCCCAGCCCCCCACTGCCCGACTCGGCCCCCAGACATAAAACTTACAGTGTGGATGCCTCCCCGAACCGCTAGGGTCCTGTCGGGAAGGGTTCAGGGAACAGTAGAGGAAAAGTAGCACAATTTTAAAAGAATAATGACCAGTATACTAAAAACCTAACTCGTCTCAGAATTCATAAGGCAAGTAGTGTTGTGATGGAGGTGGTACTTGGATTTGGCCTTGAAGGTGAGCCAGACAGAGGCACACAGCTGGGGTGGTGGATGGCAGGAGCCAGGGAAATGACACAGGAAAAGCCACAGGAGGGAATCAGCGAGAAGGCTAGGGTGCTGAAAGGCAGGGATGGAATCAGGGAGCTCTGTGGAGGACATGTGACTGCCTTAGTCCGAAAGGACAAGGCCCACACGAAGGTGACGGCAGTGAGAATGAAGGCAATGATGAGGGAGTTACATGGCTGAGTTACCCCCCCACCCACCTCCAGATGGGCTCCCCTGGCCTTCCCCGTCCAATAAGGCTGCCACTCTCCCCAAACCCAGGGCGCTCTCTTGATTCTTTCCTCTTCATTCAGTTGGAACACCCCCAGCACTGTCTCCCTGGGAGCCTTCTCACCTCTCGATGGATGACCCGTTTCCCTCTCAGCCTCGGAAAGCAGATGAACCACTTCCCTCAACCTCCTCTGAGCTCATTCCAAACTCCTCGGCGGGCCTGGGGGCCCTCCCTGACCTACTCTGGCAGCGTCACCTGGCCTGCTGGTGTCGCAGACACTGCCACAGAGGACACAACCCTGTCCTGGAGGGCATGGGCCATACTCATTTCCGCCGGGCATTTCCCATGTGCCCACCACTCTTCGAAGGGCTTCAATCCTTTCACTTCCCCCGCAGGAGCCTGGGAGTGAAACACTGCTCCCCGGTGACGCTGATGAGCACCCTGGGCTCCCAGAGCTCACATGAGTGGCAGCACTGGGGCGAGGCCCTGGGCCCCCCTTCTCTATGCTCTGCTCTCCCCCATCTTCTGCGGCCAGCTGAGGTAATGGTGCAGACCTGGTAACGAGCACAGAAAGCTCTTGGGACACACTGCGAGTGAGGCAGGGAGACCGCCATGCGTGTGCCTGCGAGTACACATCTACCTTTGAAAATAGTATGTGTTCATACATGTGCAGACATGACGCAAAAGGATGCCAACAAAACATTGATAATTCTATGAGAGCATGGATGCTTTCTGTTGTAGGTTTTTCCCCTTGAATTTATGCCTATATTGTTCTTCAAGTTTCTGCAATCACCTGGAATAGGGCTTTGCTCCAATTTCACCGTCGCAGTGCGGCTTCCCTGGGACCCTCACCCTCGCGCTCACACACTCACCCCTCCGACTCCTGCTTTCTCTCTCTCCGTGGCATGTACACCGTCCGATAAGCTGCACATCACTTAGTTATATCAGTGGTTTTCTGTCCCTCCTCTCGAATGTCTACCCCGTGAGGGTGAGATTACGTCTGTCTGGGCTATTCCTATATTCTTAGATCCTAGAAGACTTGCAGTAAATAGCCAATTTGTTGAATGAAGGAATGAAATAGTTGAAACCCGCCCCCCCAGAAGTGTGTCATTTTTGTGAACACACATGCATTGTAGGTCACCTCCTCTGACAGACCCGACGAGAAGCGGACACCCCTGGGGCCCAGGCGTTCCCACTAGTTTGGGATAAGGTGCTTGCTTTCCCAGTGCCACGCTCCCGGGGGCGGGCAGCCATCTGCCTGGTGGCCTGAGGCGTTACCTGCTCTTGCTGTTTTTGCTCTGCGTGCAGGAAGCCGGCAGGCAGCCCCTGGAAATCGGCTCACAGGCAGCTCCGAGTGACTTTGCCTGTCGCCCTTCGCCCTTCGTGGAAGTGGTCCAGCTCTCGAGTCAGCCACCGCAGTGGAACAGCTGGGCGGGGCCATGTAAACAGAGTCAGGTGCGAACTGTTTCCTGTGCAGCAGACTTCGCTCAGCCTTGACCCCAAGGTCTGCTGCCCCATGCGCATGCCTCCTTCCAGAGACGTGGGGGAGAAGTCCAGCCCGCAGAGCCTTCGCACTCAGGACGGTCCAGGAACTGAAATTCTCCTTCTTGCACAACACTCTGGGGACTTTCCTGACCCCGCCAAGTCAACAGACAGCTGGTTTTAAAGCTAACTGAGAGACAACCTACAGAATTCTCCCTTTTGAATCTCCAAGAAGCAGGATGCTGTTGTGTATAAGTACGTTTGTAACCTGACTTTTACAATCGTTAACATATTATTATAAAAACATTAAGGAAAATGTATCGAGCAGAATCCTATTATCCATATATCATAGTGCTCTTTGGTGATGTGACCTCATCACACTCTGAAAAATTACTGAGGGCCCCAAGGACCTGCTGTTTCTGTGGGCGGTATGTGCCGCTATTCACTGGAGTCAAGGTTAAAACTGAAATTGGTATAATACTCATTAAAGTAGTAATTCCATCGCATGTTTTCATAAATAACGTATTTGTATGAAAAAGTAACTGTACTTTCAAAAACAAAGGAAAACTCAGTGACAAGGCTGGCATAGTGCTGTACTTTTGCAAATTTCCTCAAAGTCTGGCTTAATAAGACATCTGGTCTGCATTCAATATGTTGTAATATGTTGTTTTGGTTAAAGTGTACGAAGAAAATCCAGCCTCATACAGATGTTTAATTAGAAAAGGGAGGAGTATTTTAATAGCCTTTTCAAGTAATTGAAGATGTTCTTCTTTGTTTCTACCCAAAACTTAAAAAGTGGGAGCTTATTAAAGATTGGTTGTAGCATAAAATCTGAAACAATATAAGTGAACTTTTTATATTTGTTATATTAAAATACGTTTGTCTAGATTACACTTGGAATGAACCTTTCGTTCATGCATAATTTTGAAACATTGGTCATTTGAAAGATACTGGTTCACTGAGTTATGCAGAACTTCCTAATGTTGACACATTTCATTTTTTTATATTGCATTTTTTCCATTACCATTTGTCCACCTTATACCCACCCGCTCCCATCACACTGTTGTCCATGTCCATGAGTCTTGTTTCTTTTTTGCTCAGTCTATCCAACCCCTAACCCCCCGCCCTCAGCTGTCATCCTGCTCTCCATCTATGAGTCTGTCTCTATTTTCCTTGTTAGTTCAGTTTGTTCATTAGATTCCACATACAAGTGAAATCATATGGTGTTTGTCTTTCTCTGACTGGCTTATTTCACTTAGCCTAAAGTTCTCCGGGTCCATCCATGCTGTCACAAAGGGTAAAATTTTCTTCTTTTTTGTGGCCGAGTAGTATTCCATTGCATAAGTGTTCCATAGTTGTTTTTTCCACTCATCCACTGATGGACACTTGGGTTGCTTCCAGATCTTGGTGATTGTAAATGACACATTTCATTTTAAGGTATTTTAAAAATCACGCTTGTTCACATCAGCGCTAAGCTTACCAGAGAAGTCTTTAAGTACTGGGAAGCTCTCAAGCTCACAGAGCAAATACAAGTTTTTCAGAATTCTATTTTCTTTGCTTAAAAGCTTGAATTTTATCATTAGCAGTATATGGAATCAGTTGTTTTCCTGGAACTGACAGACTCACTTTATCCATTTTTTTAAATGTCTGCCAAATACTCTCATCTGAACAGCCATAGTTTGTCAGTCTTCCATCAAGTAAAATTGGTGTTCTCAAACAATGCACTTATTTCAGCTCCTAACCCAAACTATTGCACAAGTACTTTCCCTCATGACAGCCGGTGCGCTCGTGTGCAGAAAAAAACGTTTCACGTGTATTTGCTGTTTCTCATCACAGAATACTACTAGCAAGGTGCTTTATGTATGAAGTGGACTCTTTTCTAAAAAGTCTTGTGGTGGTGAAACCAGTTTTGAAACCGAACAGTGCTAAGGCACAAAGCCCGTGCTTCCATTCTCGCTGTGGGGCCAGCAGTGTCATCCACCAGCAGTTTCTGCACCATTCAGCAAAAAAATGCAAATAGTACCTTAGTGTCATTATCAAGATGGCTTGACCTTGCGAATCTCCTGGAAATGCCCCAGAGCCCCTCAGGGCGTTGGGAGTCACACCTGGAGAACCGCTGCTCTAGAGAAGTGTTGCGGTGAGCCACTCCAGGCAAAGGAGCACTGAGTACTACAGCCACTGGCAGGGTCTGGGGTGAGCTGGACCTGTGTGAGTCAGAGGACTCTGATCTCTCTGCCCTAGGGCTGCACTAAAGAGAAACCAGGCTCCGTGGCCACTTTTTCCTCAACCCCACCTCTCTCTCCACGCTCCAGGTTATAAGACCAATCTAGTGGTAAAAAGGAGCACCTTAAGAAATCCCCAGAAGACCTTGCCTTTCAGGACTGCAGTCAGGTCCCCCAAATCACTCCCCCTCTTCCCCTAGCTGTACTTGGATCTAGCTAGGGCTTCCCAGAACAGGAAACCCTCCCAAGAGGGAACAGCCTCTGGCTTGCCTCATCCCCACCTACCTAAGGCCAGAAATATGAGCAAGAGTTCTTAACTCTTTGTTCCCTCTTATCAAAAATGTGTCCCCTAAGAGCTTTGTCCAAACATATGCCCTAACCCTCAGGATGTAGAAATGGGCCAGAGGAAGCTGCAAGCCCTGCCAACTCGGTCTTTGATGAGTGTCCCTCCTGCGAGGAGTTCCTGCTCTTGGACACCGGGGCGGCTTCTCGTCATCCACCACAGTAGTAATACAACAAACCATTTCGAATGTTATAGTGTCTCATCCTTGGAACTTTTTCTTAAGGTTAATCATGGTGCCCATTGGTGTTAGCCAGTAGAGCTGCCCAGTGTCCACAAGAAATGTCAGCAACACAATTGCACAGTGAACCAACGTTCAGTTACTAAGACAAGGAGAACCAGGGTGGAGCTGGAGGGCAGGGTCCAGACAACAGGAGAGTTACACGGTGTAGACAGTTCTGAGGTTCTGTACAAGTTAGACTGTGTATGTGATGAGGTAAGTGAGCAAAGAGTTAAAACATTAGACTGGAAGGTTAGGACAAGAAAGTATCCTATAGACAAAGAGTCTAGTACAGTGGTGAAAAGATACGGGCTTGGAGTCACAAGTATCCAGATTCAGTCGCTAGCCCTGCAGAGTGGAAAAGCCACCTACACTGCCTGAGCCGTGGTTTCTTGGTGTTAGAACGGAAACCGTAAATGGCACCGCACCGACAGGCCTCCTGTGCCACAGGGCTGCCTGGTGGGTCTGGCCAGTGGGAGTCCTGGCCTCCGAGAAGAGAGTCGGAGGAGAAGGTCCCTTCCCCCCGTGTGAGGCCGTGGTGGTGTCCCTGGGCAAACCCTCACTACTCACTGGGTGGTCTGCTCTACGGTACTCCTTTTCCTTCCAGGCTCTAAGAACCTCTCCATCCTTTTGTCCCTTTGGCTCTAAGGACAGTCACAGCTCTGCTGCTGCTAGTCCCGAGATCCTTGGCACCATCCTCTGTGGGTCCCCTATTTCGCCCACATACTTTTGTAATGAAGCCCTTAGTAAATAACCCTCCCTCAAGTTATCCTACTTTTCCTGCACCACGTGATTCCTGATGGGACTCTGTTTGTCTCTGTACCTCCGGGGACTACATTCCCCAGAGCCTCTGGCCTCCAAGTGGATCCAGCCAGTGAGGACACCGGGGAATACTGGATGGCAGAAGGCAGGGACTTGCCCGTGTACACCCTTCTCTACTTTCAGGGGTGGCCCCTGTGGCTCCAGCTTCTACCCAGTGACCGGTCCCTGAGCCTCAGTCACACGTCCCCTTCCCTTTGCTTCCCACCGGGCTGATCTCTCTGGGTTGCCTCACCATTGCTCTCTGGGTTCTCATTTCTTCGCCACCCGCAGAACCAGGTCCCTGCATCAGGTTTCCTGTTTCGAGTACTTAAAGGGGTTCTGTTGTCCTCTTTGAACTGTTACTGGTACCCTCTGCTCAGCCTCAGTTTCCTCACCTGTAAAACGAAGGTAATCAACAACTCCCACCTCTGAAGGGTATTGTGAGAACAATGGTGTGTAAAAAAATACCCGTAGTGTACGAAGTAGCTGCTCAATAATAGACATTAACCATTGTTGGTCTCCTCGAAGTTTCTGGCGGTCCTTACAAAGTTCCTCTTCTGTGATGTGACTTACAGCATCGGGCCCTGTCTTCCTCTCTAGCCTCCTCTCCCTCTCTGTCCATCTCACACAGACTCCACAACCTGAAGAACTGTCAGCTTCTCACAGTCTTTCATTGGCCCTGTACTCCTCCTGGCATAACACTTGTTTTACTTTATTATGCTTGCTTTCCTTTGTCCACCTTCTCTAAAGCTGTGGGGTCCCCAGCACTTGTCCATAGCTGGCAGACACTAAACGTTAAATAAGCATATATATGAAAAAAAAAGGAAGGGAAGAAAAGAATGAGGGGAAGGAGGGAGCGAAGGAGAGAGAGGCAGGTAGGTCAACAGTGATAGGAAGCCCACTGTCTCGGAGATCCTGCCAAAATACAAGTCACGAATCCAGGTCAGTAGTAAAAGCTACTTGCTGTTAGGGAGCAATGGATCTGAAATCTGGATGGAAACAGGGCAAGGCTAGACAAATGAACCATAAAGACAGCATGAAACTGAGATGAGTTTCCAGTCCAATGAGAAGCTCTTCATTCACTTCCTGCTGGAACAGGAAGCTGCTTCACCAGCCATGAAACAAAAAGTCAGAAACACAAATGCAGCATCTGTTTGGAAACAAGAGAAGGGGAGTATCAGGTGGCTAACTTGGACAGAGGGGTCATAGAGTACTGGGCACGTTCCCCAAGTCAGAAATGATTCAGATGGAATCCAGAAGTCCTAATACATGAGGGAAATCCATGGTGCTCTCTTTTATTTCCCCTTTCACCATGGAGTTGAGTTTCTTGACTGGGCCATCTACTCCATGAAGCCACCCAGACCCTCAGTCTCTTTCATCCTGGTGCCAGGCTCTGTCTCAGGCCAGATGAATG